GAAGCAATGCCTAGGTCCTGGGCAGCTGCGGCAGCTGGGGAGAGGGGCCCAAGGGAGACCAAGCAGCTCTGAGAAGACTGTCAGGGTCCCTGGCCAGAGTCAGGAAGAGCCGTGACTCCCTCTCTGCGTAGCTCCTGGGTAGCCAGGGAGCGTGGGCAGGGAGCTGCGGGTCTGTGAGCCACGGTCCCGAGGTGCTGGTGGAACATTTGCCAGCCATACAACTTGGCCCTGGGGCTGGGCACAGGGAGGTAGGAGGTTGGGCGAGGTCCAAAGTGGCAACTATGTGCTTCAGAGCACAGGGACCCAGCCTGTGCCACACCTGGTGCCCTGTCACACTCTCTGAATTGTCTCCATCCACCCTCACCCGCGGGCCCCGTCTTGCTGCCAGCAGATAATGCAGAAGGGAAGCTCGCGTCCCGCTGAAAGGCCCCGGGGCCCCCATTTAAAGGCAGAGCGAGCGGGTGACGTGACGTCAGGGGCTGGTTTTCAGAGGAGGCGCTCGGGTTAGCGCCTCTCTTAGCTTGCTCAGCTGGACAAAGAACAGAAGACTGAGACAAAGCACAGGCCCTGTCCTCCTCGTACCCCTCGCAGGAGGCTCCGGACTGCTCTCACACTGCAGCCTCTGGGTACTGGGAGCCGTAAATCACTCAGCGGGCGGCACACAGGACACTGGGAGGCAAGCTGTGCACGCCATGGCGGGGGGCGTGGGGAGGAGGGGCGGTCTTGGGAGAGCGGAAGGGAGGAAGGAGAATGCACATGCTTCTCTTTTCAGCATTTTTTCAATTGTGTTCCCGCACTCTCCCTTCTCCCAGAGGGGCCACACCTGCCTGGAAATGTCGTCATCACCAAGCAGTCTCGGGGGTGCCTAACCCGAGAGGGATGTGCAAGTAGGCAGGGCCTTCCGGGGTGAGACAGCACAGAGGTCAGCGACCTGGCCCGCAGCACTGCACCCCTCGTCCCGACAGCCACATGTCCAGGAGCGGCTCCCGGGGTGAAGAAGGAAGGAACAGCAGTGGGTTTGAGTGACAGAGGGGCTCCAGGGGACACTGGGCCCCTTCTCACTGAAGTCTGAAGGCTGGAATCTCGTGCAGGGATGGAAACTTGGGCTTTGCCACTGTCCTTCCTCTGATCCCTCAAGGCACGTCCAAAACACAGAAGGGCGCCGGAGGAGAGCAAGGTGGTCCGCTTTTCAGAAGGAAGCCTCAGGGCCTCCCGCGACTTCACCCCACAAAGTGTTGCCAGCCAGAGACAGACATTAAGCCAAACTCTTCTCAGGACCTAAGGGAACACATTTCTGCTGGGCCCCCACCCTCCCCTTGGCATTGCCACGGCCAAACCCATCCCCCCGCGAGTGTTCTTTGCCATCTCCTCCACGTTAGTCAGGCTGAATGTTTCAAAGCAGGTTGTTCAATCTGAGGACGGGTCAGGTTTTTATACGTAAGAGCGGAGTAAGCAGATGGCTTGTTTATTTGGGCCCAGGGAGGAGAAGGAGGAGGAACTGGGAATGGTATGAGAGGCAGAACAGGAAGGACTTCCTTGAGAGCTGAGACCAAATTGACTTAAGAGGCAGAAGACAGGGAGTCCAGTTAACCCGGTGGTCTTCTCATCCCCAGTCACGAGGCGGAGAAGGCCCTAGAGGAGCTGCCGTGCCCGGGAGAGCATGTGATGAGGCTTGTCATCCTCTGGTCTCACAGCCCCCATGTCACCCCGCTGCAGGGCAGAGACACAGTTGGACTTGGTGCCTTACAGAGAGAGCGACCTGCGCGGTATGCTTGTCCTCAACTGCAGAAGGTGTGGGGTAGGGGAAGGGCCAAGATTCCAAGCACAAGACAGCCTCATTTCCTTGGTCCCTGGCTTTTTCTTCCAAACCTGCCCAGCCGAGGCAAAGGAGGGTAGAGTTAGGAAGGAAGAAACAATCCCGCGAAAAGGCCAAGGTAACTGGGACAAGACTGAGTTGATGATCTTGGACGTACGAAGTTAAGAAAAGTGCAGAAAGTATTTGCAGGAAGTTTTCTTAGTAGTCATAATACCTAATAGTCACTTAGCATTTATGATCGATTTAAAAAGATTTTCATAAACTTTAACTTATTTTATCTTCACAACCGTCTTGGGAAAGTACCACAGTCCCATTTTATAAAACAGGAAATGGAGCCGTCATCTTTCATAGCTGTAGCAGTAGAGGTGGAATCAGGACTTGAATCTGGTCTTGCAATATTTTCCTCCTCACCCTAGACCAGGGCGGCAAAGCTATGGCACGAGTGCTGCAGCGGGTTGCTTGGTAACACTGAAAGCTCTAAAAGGTTCGCCGTCCCTGCCCTAGACCTTCAACTGCGGAAAGGAAATGCCAGACTACCCTGTACCTTGCACATATACCTACCAGCAGAATACTACCATCATGCAAGAAGCACAGGCCTGCCGGGTGTGGCTGCACACGCCTGTCATCCCAGCACTCCGGCAGCTGAGCCAGCAAGATTGCCATGAGTTTGAGGCCAGCCTGGGCAACACAGTGTGTTCAAGGCCAGCCTGAGCTGCATAGTGAGACCTTGTCTCAAAAAAAACAAAACAATAAAACAAGACAAAACAAAATAAAAAGAAGCAGCAGGGGCTGAACCCTCCTGGGCCATAATCTCATGAGTGGACAGCTGGCACAGAGCATATTGACATGATGGGACCAAATGTCCCACTTCCCTCAGTCTCGCTGGGAAGGCTGGTTTCTGACTAGACTGCTAAGCTCACCCTGACGACAGTATTCCAGGAAAAAATGTCAAGAAGTTAGAACTGGGGAAGCCTCACACACCGCGCTCTTCCATGCTACCTACCCCACAGAAGTGAGTACAACTGGTCTCTCTACTTTGGACCTTGTAAAGCTCGAGCTTCCAGCAGAGGTCACTCTGTTTGTAAAAGTTTTGAAAAGATCCAGACTTACAGACATGTGTACTTGTTAGCCAGCTGTTCTGAGGCATTTAAGTCTAGCCTTGCTGCTTATCCTTGGTGGGTTCCCCTGCCCCAGGGGCGTTTGGGTCCTTTGGTGGATAAAATGCATTCTCCTAACCAGGCCCAGTCCAGAGTAGCCAAGGGTCTCTCATAATCAACCTAGGACTTATCACGAATGTTCTCACACTGGGTCCTCAACCCATCCCCGCCACATCCCAGGAGGTTCATTAGGCCAGGCTTCTGCACTGCAGGCCAGCTGGGAACCCTTAGCTCTTCTACTGTTCCAGACATAGGCACTCTTCAGGTCCTGGCTCGACAGCTCTCTCCTCACCATCTATTCTGATTTTCCCTCCTTCGCTCTCTCATTGCTGTTTAATTTATGTGTCTTTCCCACACTTCTCTAATTCTACTCATGCTAATTAATTGTGAGAATAGCTCATTTTTCCCTAATAGATTATCAGCTCCTTAGAGACAGATGCTATATTGAATTCATCTCTGTGGTTCCCCCTTCCCCTTTTGTGCCTGGCTGGCAATTTAGCTTTAAACGTAGTAGGAGAACAATGCATAATTGCTACGATGGAGTTTACCTTGGCTTCCTAAAAAATAGGCTGTGATCCAAAAGTCCCCACACAGGACGGTCCCACTCCTCATCCTGTCCTTTGGCAAATCTTATGGGAGCAGGCTCCTCTCTCCCTCCACCAAGAAGCTGAGGGTTTCCACTTAGTTTGGTTACTTAAAAAGGTTAAAATTATATAAGCAAAAGCAAGGGGTTCACTGCTGTTACCTGTCCTCCCCCCAAAATCAAGGGACCAAAGAATATGAGAAAAGAAGAAGGAAGAGCAGGGAGTTTCCTGGAAAGAGCAGGGTGATGCTGAGACCTGAATGGATTCTCTACTGTGACAACAGAGACGGGGTACTACAAGCCTAGTACTCCTGAGGGCAAGGTCCTTATGTTCCAGAGGGGCTTAAGGCCCTGCTCACGCCTCAAGGTCAGCTGAGAACCACAGCTGCTGAGGGTGGGGGGTGAGCAGGCAGAAGAGGACCTCCACGAACCTCAAGTCGGTCCATGAGAGATGAGGGAAGCATTGCTCCAAAAAGTGTTTATGGGGAAGGTTGTGCTATTCCTACAAGGACAGGAGCAATCAGTGATGGGGGATCAGGCCCAGTGAGGACTGCTGAGGGGTGGACTGGGTAAAGGAAGACCCCTTGCACACCATAGACTGCCGTATAACTCAAGTTCTCTTTACGGTCAAGGACTTGGGGCCAGCGTAGTTAGACCTTGAGTTAAGATCCAGGGAGACAACAGTCACAAGGTTTGAAGGGGGAAAAAAAAAGAAAGAAAGCAAATCCCAAGAATCAGATCTCAGCCAGCAGGGGGAGGAGGGGCCATTTCTGCTAGAGATGTGAGATATTTTCAGAGAGAGAGAGAGAGAGAGAGAGAGAGAGAGACAGAGAGAGAGACGGGCAGGCAGAGGCAGAGGCAGAGGCAGACTATCACAAACCAGCTAGCTACAGATCTAATTCCAGCTGAAGGACGAGGTTCCATCCAGAAATCTTCCTCGCTGAGGCAGTGCAGGGAGGATGTTATCTGTTCTCAATTTCCCACAGAACCACTCTTTCCTCCTGGGACCCCCGAGTGGACAATGAAACTTCCCCTTCTGGACCCACGCAGGAGTCTGGGACACACAGGAGGCCCTCCTACTTGCACGGCCATCCGGCCCCTTGGACACCGCCTGGACTTTCTCGGACTCTGACTTTGGGCACAGGTCATTTGGACAGAAGCAGAAGGCAGGGACTCCAGCAGCACCTCCGGCACCTGCCTGCCTCTAAGAAGGCAGGAAGTGAGGGCTGCTTAGGGCAAGGCTGCCGGAGCCTGTGCTCTCTACCAGGGAGGAGGGGCAGCCTCCCTGGGCCAGGCAAACACATTTCCATCACTGCCACGCTGGGGTTCACGGCCACACACACACACACACACACACACACACACACACACGAACACCACGGCGGGAAAGGGTGTGGAGCCAGTGACTGAGCATGCTCCTCCAACCCCTGTAGCCCTGCGGTACCTGCCAATGCCTTGATCCGGGACCTCTCAAAGAGCCTGGCAGAGCTGTTGTCATTATCCAGCTCGTCGTCAGGGGCATCCCACCGGGCATTGATCCGGCTGTACGGTGGCTGGTTGCCCACGTTTTCAAACTCCGTGGCCGATGTCATGTCAGCAGGCTCTTCTCAGCAGCTACGATGCCTGCCTCAGTCTTCATGGAAGGGTCCCTGGGGACAGCAACACAGTCAGAGGGTCAGCTCCCCACCCCCTCGCACTTTTTCTCAGGGGAAACTTATTCGGGCCATCCGGCAGGAGCAGATCCTGGCGGGAGGAGGGAACCGTGTCACTTGCTGGGGCATGCTTCTGACCCAGGGTCTCTGGGTCTGTGTTATAAAATATTGCAGCAGCAGCAGCAGCAACAACAGCAACAAAAACAGCAGCGGTGGCAGGGATGGAGACTGAGAGCTGCATGCCGCAAGGGGCAGGATGGCCAGCAGGTGGAGACATCAGTCGCTGTGAGCCCGCTTCCTCCAAACCCGGTGCCACCGCCCCAGGGAGCAGCGGAGCTGCGAGAGGCAGCTCTTAACCCCTAGGAGCAGGAGCAAGGCTGACAAGCTGGGAAGAGCAGCCCCAACCTGTGGACTGCAGCCAGGAGCCAGACTGGGACAGAGACCGGGGCAGGCAAGGGGAGAGGGAAACCTGGAAGTCACCTGAGCCCAAGTCTAGCAGGGGTAGGGTGGGGGTAGGGGAAGAAACCAAGCAGCCATTGGTGCCACAATCCCTGGCCCTGGGCTCACCAAGGCCACCCAAGAACCCTGAGTTCTTCCACAGGGGCCAATATTCAGAAACAGCTGTGCATGCCTTGGTGCGAGGACAAGGTCTCCTGTTGAATCCCAGGCCTGGTCAAGCAGCCTAGGTGAGCCCGTGTCCTGTCAGTGTGATCAGCATGAAATACTGGGTGAAGGGTGAGGGTGTCTATGCAAGGCACATAGGCACTCTTCGTTATTTTCTCATTGCTGGGATGCAACACTCAACACCCACAACTCTGAGGAGGAGAGGTTTATTTTGGCTCAAGTTTGCAGAGCTTTCATTCTATAGACGGCTGGCTCCAAGGCAAGGCAGCATGGTAGAGGGGCATTGCAGAGGAGAATTACTCATGGCATGGCAGGCAGGAAGAACAGAGGAATCAAGGGAAGAGGAAGAGAGACACACCCTTCTAGGCCACGCCCCCATGCCCCACCTCATCCAGCCAAGCTCCACCCCCCAGTGTCACATTTAGCTATAAACCCATCAGTGGGTCAATCCACACATGAGGATTATGACTCCAGGATCCAGTCACCTTCACTTAGGAGCACATGAGGCTTTGGAGGAAATTTTGACATAAACCATAACATTCTGCCCCTGGACCCCAAAAGACTCATGCCCATCCCTACATGCAAAATGCACTTATTCCATCTCTAAGAGTTGCCAAAGTCCTAACAGTTTCAGCATTGCCAAAAAGTCCAAGTCCAAAGTTTCCTCTGAGATTTAAGGCACTCTTAGCTATGAGTCCCTGTCAAAATGAAAAAGTTAAACATTTCCAGCATAGAATGGTACAAGATAAACATTTCCACTCCCAAAGGTACAAATAGGAAAGTAGGGGCCAGGGGTTGAGCTCAGTGGCACAGTACCTGCCTGGCAATCAAAAGGTCCTGAGTTTGATTCCTGGTACTATCCCCCTCCTCCTCCAAAAAAAAAAGAAAAAATCAGGGAGTAGAAAGGAACGGGACCAAAACAAGACTGAAACTCAGTAAGTCAAACATCAAATCCCACAGTTCCATATCCAGCACATGGGACCATGTGTGGCAAGATGTGAACTCCAAAAGGTTTGGGTGCCCCTTCCCCTATGGCACTGCTCATAGTTACAGCCCTTGTGCCCTCTCCCATAGGCTGGCTTTGCTCACTCCTTGTAGCTTTCCTCAGACAATCCATGCTCCTGGCTTCTCCAACATCCTGGGATCTTCCTTACACTTTCAGCTTCATACTCCCAGCATCACACACTTCCGTCTCTGGGGCACACTGCCTGGCCTCCTTCTGAAACCTGAGTGGAAGCCTTCCTGGCCCCACGACTCTTGCACTCTGCACGAGTGTAGAATGAGCACCATGTGGAAGTTCGCTGCCAACTGGAGCAGCAGCGGAGCTCTTTTACATCTTGCTGGGGGTTGCAGGGGCCTCTGAGTGCCACAATGATAAACTGAACCCTGGGGAGCCAAGTCTCGTTCCTTAGGCTGTCACCATTCAGTGCTCTTTTCAAAGCAGAATCTTTCACCTTTGCAATTTTGAGCCTGCAAAGGGTGGGTCTTTGCAGTGTCCTTATATTCCCTCAAGGCATTTTTTCTATTGTCCTGTTCCAAAGAACCTAGCTTCTTTTTAATGCTAATCTTTTCAGCAACCAAGTTCTCCTCTGCTCCATTTTTGCAGGTCTCAACTTTATTTTATTTTCAGCTCTACTAATGTTCCCCTCTGGCCAAACTCAAAAACTTCAAAAATCGTTCTGCTGGGTTGTTTGCTCTTGATTCACAACATAGAGCTGACTAAAAGCCCCCAACGGTAGTATCCAAGCTGTAGCCAGAATGTTTGGCTGCCTTCAGGTTTTCTCCTCTAGGTTAATTAGTCCCTCTCCCTCAATCTGTCTCCTACAAAGTCTCTGGACATGAGCAAAATCTAGACAAATTTTCTGCCAGAGCATAAGACACATGATCTGCAGTTCAACTGTCAATGGAGTTCTTCTTCTCAAGTGAAACCTTTGGAGCCTGATCTTTTCTGGTTGCATTGCAGCGAACTTTCTGGTCTGAGCTCCAAGGATTTCCCACCAAACTTGTACTCTAGGGCTGCTTCTTCAGCTGGCATTTCCAAACCTTTTGAAACTCCTCCCATGAGCCAATTCCAAAGCTTCTGAGCCGCATGGTCAGGTACAATCCCACAGCAACAACCCCACTTCTACGGCACCAGAATCTATCTTAGTTCTTTGCTCATCACTAGGACACAATACTCACACCCACAACTCTAAGGCAGAAAGGTTTATTTTAGCTCGCAGTTTGTAGAAGTTTCAGTCCACAGTAAGCTGGCTGCAAGGCAGACTGGCCTGGCAGAGGGGCATGGGGACAGGAAGTAGAGAGAGGTCAAGGGAAGTCATGCCCTCAGTGCCCCATCTCCTCCCACCAGGCTTCACTTCCCAGTGTCACATTTAGCTATAAACCCAGGGGACTATCCACAGATAAGTATCATGCGCTCTTGAGCCAATCACCTCCCTGAAGCCCTACCTATGAGCACATGAGGCTTTAGAGAGACATCTAGATCTGAACTGTAACAGGTGTCGAGCACTCGCTCACCTAGCACTTCATTCATTCACTCTTTCATTCATTTGCAGTGGTGCTCCAGTTCACAAACTCAATGCTCTCCATGATTCTGACTGCAAACCATCCTGGACCAGAGCACTTGCTTTGGCAGCACATACACTAGAACTGAACCGGACGAGAAGCAAATCAAATTTCCCCTGTAAAGTCAACACTGAACCTAACCATTGACTTCGCTTCAGTTCTCATCCAACTTAGTTTGTGACCCGAATCATGGAAAGAATCAAGTTCGTGAACTGAGGCACCACTTACAGTTAACACCAATATTTATCAAGCTCCACACGGTGGCCGGCACTGTGCTAGGCAGTTATGAGTAAGAGAAGGTGGGCTGTGTCCTCACAGAGCTTATACCCTGCCAGCGGGAGAGACAGTTAAATGAACACTTACAGCCAGTGAGTCGTGAGCTGTGCCTGAGAGAGACCAAGATGAGGCAGGGCTGGGTGTCTGGAGCAGGGAAGTTTTGGGTGAGTGCTAAAGGGAACCCTGGAGCTGCCTGCGACGGGATTGGCAGAAAGGGACAAGAGTCCAAACAGAGGAATAAAAAGCAGGCGCAAAGTCCTGAGGTGAGAAAGAACACCCCATGGTCGAGGGACCCCATGGCGTAACTGGAGCCAGGAGGCTGGGGGACTGGCTTGGTCTGGAATGCACTGAGCCTTTGGAAAACGCCTGGCTTTGCTCCCCTGTATCTGCCCTTCAGACATCTCCCGGAAGCTCACAGGATTCACAGACCAAGTCTGTAAGAGAGAACTGGGGCTCAGAGCCTCCACCTCCAAGGGAGTAAGAGTGGGTGGGGGCTGCAGGCTGGGTGGGGGTCAGATGATGTGCTGACGGTTAGTCAAAGGCCTGACTACGAAGACAACACTGAGCTAAGCCACAAACAGCTCTCTCTCTCTCTCTCTCTCTCTCTCTCTCACACACACACACACACACTCACACACACACACACACACACACACACACACACACCCAACATGCCCCCAGCGGGCATACGCACACAGAGAAGAAACTCAGTGTATCCACCGAGCATGCGGCTCTGATGCAGCTCTTACTGTTCAGACTCGGAGTCACTCCGGACTCTTTCTCCCCCAAACTGGTTAATCAATCCCACCACATCCCTGACAGCAGCCAGAATTATCTACCCTCCCTGCACGGAGGAGAAAACCCAGGCCTAACGCAGGACGAGGCCTGCCCAAGGTGACCTCGGGAATGACTGCTTCAGTTTAGTCCAAAGGCCAAACTAGTCCAGTCTATCTCCCTCAGCTGGATGGGTTTTAGGGAAACAGGTGGGGAAGTACCAGGCCCGTGGGGACAGAGGACATTCCCCAGCTGCCAGGGCTGGGCAGAGGGCTTTGCCATTTGGAGGGAGGGAGAGCATAAGGAGGAAGAACCCGTTGGTACCCCAAACACAACACCACCAGGGTAGGCCTATGCCCACGGCCACCCCTGTCTCTGTGCCCAGCCTGTCCTCACCCATAACTGCTGCTTCCTGCCCTGAGATTTCCTCCTCAATTGGCTGGACAAGACAGCTGGGAAGGACTCTCCTTTCTTCATTCTCCTGCTTCCCTTAAGGGAACTACCACCAGCTTGGGTGGCTGAGCAAGAGAGGGACAGACAGGCGCACCACCTCCTGCAGGGCTCAGGCCTGTCCAGCAGCCTCTGACCAGAACTGAGCTTCACACGCAGGAGGCACGGTAAGATCAGGCCCTGAACCCAGGAGGTAACCAGACCCTGCCTCTCTCTCTTCATCCTGAGCTATTTTTAAGAGCGGCCAAGAGAGGCCCAGGCTGTGGGGCCAGGGAGTGAGATTACTTAGCGTGGCTCCGTAAATAAGT